GGTTAAAGTGCTGGATGAAAGGGGTTAAAGTGCTGGATGAAAGGGGTTAAAGTGCTGGATGAAAGGGTTAAAGTGCTGGATGAAAGGGTTAAAGTGCTGGATGAAAGGGTTAAAGTGCTGGATGAAACGGTTAAAGTGCTGGATGAAAGGGTTAAGGTTCTGAACGAAGTATGGGCCTAATTTGTGACTGGAGTTGAAGGGAAGATCGAATCTCGGAACCGCGCAAAATTTAAGAAACTAGAGTGAGAGAACTGGTGGTCATAGGGGCAGGTGTTGGTATTCGCTTATATATAATGAAGCTGGGAAGGGTGTGGGGGAAATTAGAGGGTTGCATGGAAGAGAGTGGGGGACGGGGTTTAGGGGATAGCTTCGTACTTCATTTCTCCCAATGTGGGATCGCGCGGTACTTAGTTCAAGCCCCCCAAAAATATTTTGTTGCCGGTGACAGCTGTAATTGGGTAGTTGAGGACATTTATATTGGCTTATTGTGTCAGCAGCATCCTTAATAGAGTTATGCACTAACGTATTTACAACTTTGCTCATTTAGTAAACTAGTGACTTTCGTTGAAATTTGTTAACAGGTTGCATAGCACATGTAAATTGGCAAGTAAATATAAATGGTTTAATAAAGTATTATTATATGGGGTGACATCTTTTATAAAAGTAAAGTATATATGATTTTTAAGAGGTTAATGGACGAATCTATCTGTATAGTGTTTTAATGGGTTTCTATTTTATTTCACTTAGTAACAAAAATAATTACGGAATAAAGTTTACTGGAAAAAGATATTTATTTTCCAGAAGTGTTAGCATCAATAAATTATATATTTTTCTTCGGTATTATCTTGTACTTGTTTGGTGCCATTCAGTTTATGTAGTTACTATTTGCTCTCCATACTATTGAATGGACATAAACTGGCATGAAGATGACACAGTTAATCCTAAGAATTAGAAACTTTCATTATAAAGTGTCAAAAAGCTTAACCTACATATCTAGTAAGATGCAGAGTGAGGGGTGATGTGTGAATGAAATATGAACCCAGATGAAAGGATATAACAAAGGGGATATAAGTAAGAATTTAAATAAATTAGCACGAAAATAAAACTCAATGGAAATATACCTAAACATCTTTTTGATCACTCTACGGACCGGACCAGCCGGGTTTCATTTACTTTGGCATAATGGAAATAAATTCTATACATGTTCAGATCAAGGAAAGACCTGGGGTAAATAATGGCTTGGAAACAAATATATGGAACAAATTGCTTGGCAAATAACAGACGTGGAATTAAATACATAGAAATTTTTGGTCAATTCTCACATTTGATACGTGTTGAAGGACTAGCGGTATATATTGCTTATTATATCGTCACCGCACTCAATGATATTTACACGTACATAATCCTTTCATTTTGTTCATATTTTTGTTTTCTTGTTTACAAAATTTGGCGATAGGTTGTGTTGGTGGTATAACAAGAGGACCCGTGTGGGTTCATTACAGCCTCCTGCTGCCACTCACCTCACGACACAGACTAAATACACCACATTTACTTCAAAATAGTGAACCACCAAAACCTACCACAAACCCAACCACTTCCATCACCGCTGTTGTTACCACAACCACCACCTCAACTACAAAACTTAAAATAACAATTAAAAGCAAATGCATAGGGTTAATACAGATGAATAGGTTAAGGAAGCCAAATCATACAACACAAGAAACAAGCAACACTTAGTGGGCCAGCCAGAGGCTTAGTGCCCGCGCAGGAATATCCATGAAAAAAAAAATGGAAACACAAAGTGACGAAAAGTACTGTCTCCTGACACTGTCACACTGTGCCACCACTTGAGCACTGTCACACTGTGCCACCACTTGAGCACTGTCACACTGTGCCACCACTTGAGCACTGTCACACTGTGCCACCACTTGAGCACTGTCACACTGTGCCACCACTTGAGCACTGTCACACTGTGCCACCACTTGAGCACTGTCACACTGTGCCACCACTTGAGCACTGTCACACAGTGCCACCACTTGAGCACTGTCACACTGTGCCACCACTTCAGCACTGTCACACTGTGCCACCACTTGAGCACTGTCACACTGTGCCACCACTTGAGCACTGTCACACTGTGCCACCACTTGAGCACTGTCACACTGTGCCACCACTTGAGCACTGTCACACTGTGCCACCACTTGAGCACTGTCACACTGTGCCACCACTTCAGCACTGTCACACTGTGCCACCACTTGAGCACTGTCACACTGTGCCACCACTTGAGCACTGTCACACTGTGCCACCACTTGAGCACTGTCACACTGTGCCACCACTTGAGCACTGTCACACTGTGCCACCACTTGAGCACTGTCACACTGTGCCACCACTTGAGCACTGTCACACTGTGCCACCACTTGAGCACTGTCACACTGTGCCACCACTTGAGCACTGTCACACTCTGCCACTTCTTGACACTGTCGCCCATTGCCACTTCTTGTCA